GGCGGGGATACGGACCCCCCCCCGGGCGTAGCGGGATCATGGCCCCGAGCCTGCCGGGGGTCGCGGCCCTGCCAGGGGCGATCGGCCTGGAAGGGGGCAGGGCCCCCCCGCCACACATGGGTTTCACCCAGCAGCGCCTCTCCGCTCCCCGTGCGCTAGGCCCGTAGTCACCGTGCCAGGAGCAGGGGAACAGCTTTCCCAGCCCACAGGGTGCTTTGATGCCTGAGTCAAGGAGTCATTTTCCCACCCCGTACTTTGGGAGCCTAATTCCTCTTCTCGCCAAGCAGGTTCTCCTCGCCTACACACGGATATCCGGGCAAAGGCCCAGGGTGATTTATCCAGAATAGGCCCTACTAAGCCTTAGGGACTGAACTCTCCCCCCACTCACAGTTTGTGGAAAACCATTTTCTACTACGTTCTCAGTGTGTTTTAGGGAATGGTGCTGAAAGCGCCAGCAGTATTTTGGGGGTGGGGGACAGCAGCTATTTCCTAATATAAAATGTCCCGGAGCGGTAAGACAATATTAGGACAGCAATTTGAGAGTGGATGGGGGAAGATAAGGAGCAGCACTGCTTGAGCAAGCTGGCAGAGCTATTTCTTTGCTTTAGAGAAAGTCTCACTCTCTCACACACCCCTTTCCTGTCACTGCATTACTGAAGAATTAAAAATGCTGCCAACCATCAGCACAGCTGTAATTTTTTTGGATTGAAACCCAGACTGCCCCACTCAAAAAGGACAAAGTTAGTATCACAGTTTGAAGTTTGATCCTGCAATTTCTGCCCTCTGACTATAAAGTGAAATTGCTGCCTCAGAGAAAGTTCTCTTCATCTCAGAACTGGACGGGACCCCGAAAGGTCATAGAGTCCAGCCCCCTGCCTTCACTAGCAGGACCAAGTACGGATTTTGCCCCAAATCCTTAAGTGGCCCCCTCAAAGATTGAGGTTTAGCAGGCCAATGCTCAAACCACTGAACTATCCCTCCCCCTAACGGGTAGGATTAAATTTGATAAAGATATTTTAAACCCCTTCTTGAAGGGGAGTTAATGCCATAAAACTGCAGTTTAAGGCAATTTTGAACTTCGATTCCAGCCACAAAAGGCTAGTTGTATGTCACCTCAGCACACTGTTCTAGTTACAGCCTGCTCTTCTTGATGGGAGTTTGTGCAAAGGTATGAAAAGCAGCTTGTATATACATAACTGCAGACAACTTCAACTGGATGTCTCACATAAAGCAATTGAGAGGAAGATCTAATGTTTTCCCCATTCCTTGAGCACCACAGGAAACAAACACAGATTGCAGTGTGCCACTCCAATCACTCCCAGATGTCATCCTCATTGAGGATACAAGACGACACAAGTAATACACTTCGATTACGCCAGCTGCCAGCCTCATACATATGCCATGAATGGAATGTACAGCTAGGTTATCCATCACAGTTCTTATTTCTGCAAACACTGAAAGAAGCCTGAGGCTGTTGCTCCAGTGGTAGCTAATTACTACCACTGCTTTGGACCTATAAGCCTGCACATTGGTTCCCCCCACACACACACACACACTTTTCATAGTTGTTTGCAGAAACTTTTTATTGGGGCTTAACCATTAATGGTGAATAAAGAGGTTTTGAGCTGCTAGATTCATAGCTCTTTTGACTGTTACACCATGGTAACCATGCTCTATTTAATGATAGTATTGTTTGGCTGTAAAGCACCCCACATCTGAGAGGTACACTCAATTGCATTAAACCCTTTCTGCAACTAGACAGGTACATGGCTACACATAAGTCAAGATGCAGCAGGAAGGGACACAAGAAATGAAACAAATTACATCTGCCATAGATTTATTAGGAAAGATTAGTTACATTCCTTATAAAGTTGTGCCTAAAGGAACTCCTAGGTCTCCAGCTCTGGCTTCTAACATGGAGTGGAGGCTCCATACCTTCAGCAAAAAGCCACAACTTTAAATGTACACACACAATGCTTTGAACACTTTCTGCTAAGCCCCCTCAACCATACAGTCCTGTATTTTCACTTTTATATATGTTAAGGATCCAGCATCTCTCCCATAGGTTTAGATTTCCCTCAGAATTTACATTTCAGGGGAACAGAATCTCAAGATGCAAATTTTAGTTTACAATTCCTTTCTCCTCAATACAGCAATAACCCTACATCAAGTCACCATTAGGCTCAAGCTTCACACACCAGCACCAATTGTTCAACACCCAGGGACAACAGAGTAGCAACCAGAGGATGTTTCCCGGCGTTGTTTGTCTCCAATAACCAGCATGTCAGACACAAACCAATCTTGAAGCTTGGGGCATACACAGTGAGAGGATATGCTTTTATTTTCAATTGGCAACATAAACAATTAGGCCACTAGGTTGCCACTGGAGGAGAGACACTCCACTATGTCAAGGCCTGATTCTTCAGAGTGCTGAAGCACCCAACAGATGATTGCCATTAGCAATCAATTAACTTTATAAAGAGATTTCACGCATTGGCACTCTTCTTCCCAGGGCAAAGACAAGAAGAAATAAAAGCAATTTCACCACTCTCTCCAGCGCCCCAAGAATCTGTTCTCTTCAGAGTCAGTCCATTAACTCAGTGTATTGATAATGAAGCCTTTGGGAGCATCCCGGTGCTACTGTTAGGAAATGAAGTGGGTCTCCGGCATGATCTGATCAATTTTGTGGTCAGCTGGGTTTGCTGATGCTTCATAGTTGCAGATGGTCACTTCATGTCGATAAGCCTGAATCAAGGCAAACATATTTAGTCCCATTAAAGCTCAGTTTAGTCTACCAAAAAATGGAATCTGACCAGCACTTCCCATTTCACTTCTGTCCAAAGTAGTCTCTCCCACCCTCCCCAAGATCTGCCCAAACTGAATTTGGTGCCAGCCACTGAGGCCCAGGCACCTGCCCCAGCTCAAGGAATGCTTTACATTACAAGTCATCCCTCGATTAATGCTGAACCTATGCTATGTCAATGTTTTAAATCTGTACTTGCAAGACTGCAGCCTCTTCTGCGTGTACCTGGTTCTTAACACAATCATGCCTGTGACAAAAATATATCCCTTAAATAAATCCAACAGCAATGCCAGCACCTCCCACTTCTTAACAGGCAGCTTCCCAGAATCACAGCAGTTCATGTTGGATTCAGGAAAGGAAACTAACCAAGCCTTATTTGGGTTGATTCAGTTCAGCAAATTAACTCAGTTACTGATCAATCTCCATAGCGCTTTCCAAGTTTCTTATAAATAACCACACCTAGACAGACCCAACTGTACAAGTTGCAATTCAAGACGACTTCTGCATTTGTGATGTGTTTTGCTCATTTTCTCCCTGCTCTCACTCACCTCTGTCCACTCTCCCCTCAGGCCTATATAAAAGATCTTTGTTGTCTCAGCTCCAAAATTCTTGGAAATGTGGATGGAGAGATGGTAAACGTTTGAGAAACGAGCAATTCTGGAAGAAAAGACAAAAAAACAGACTGAGTTCAGAGTTCAGCATGTAACCAGTCACCCAGGAAATAAATCCTAATTTCTGGAGCAGTTTCTGCACTAAAGAGGATGAAGGTGTTACTTGAAAAGGAAAACCTATTGGGGTGTGGAGACTAAGCACTGCCATGTAGGAGACCTGGTGTCTTAGCCATTCACTCCTTGGATCAACAAGAACTGGGAGGGAGGGTGAAGGAAGCACCTGGTGTGTCTGACATGTGACTCCTCTGGTAGACTGGAGAACAGTAAAAGGAGCCTTCTTCAGTCCTCCTTGGTGTAAGAGGTGGAGGAGACAAGGCATTGAGAATTCAGTTTGGGGAGCCTCCAGGATGCAAGACCCAAGAACTTCCCTCCCCAGGAAAAAGGTCTTCAACACCATTTAGGGACAGGTAAAGTTCTCACTCCAACACAAGTGCTGGGAAGAGCCAGAAAAGGCATTTAAAAAACACATTCTATTATTTGATGAGATGTTATGATGTGAGTGAAGGAACTACTCTCCCCCTCTTAACACTTTCTAACCGTTGAATAGCATATGAGTAGGCTCTGATAAAAGGAACACAAACTCATTGGCTCCAGGAGGAATGAACTCCAGTGCATCCCTAACAGATGCACCACAGAGAAGGGAAGAGCCTGTCTCATACTTTGTGGGATACTCCAGTTCTCCTGTTAGATCTCGATTCAGACTGAACATCTGATCTGGTTCTCTGGCTGTGTCATCAAATGACATGTGAGGAATGTTCTTGAACCTGGGAGTGGACAAAAAAAACACAACAGTGGTTAAAATGCATCTCAGCTAATTGATTTATTTATCTCCCCTTTCTTCCCACCACTGGGTTATTAAACTGGCTGTGTCCTGTGGAACACACACAACTGGATCAGCCAAGAAAACAGCACTTGCATCATATCAGGAATTGTCAACACACTACAAGTAGTAAACACGAGCAAGGAACAGAGCTGCAGATTTAAGGCATTTGCCACCCACATCACTTCCAGTACATGTCCTGCTCTACTCAGCACTGAGGAAGCCTCAGCTGGAACAGTGTGTGCAATTCTGGGTGCCAGGTGTGGACAATTTGAGAGAATCTAGAGGAGCACAACAAAAATGCTAAAAGGTTTAGAAAACCTGACCTATGATGAAAGGTTAAAAAAATCTGGACATGTTTCGTCTTGAGAAAAGAAGACTGATGGGGGAACCTGATAATAGTCTACAAATATGTTAAGGGCTGCTATAAAGAAGACAATTGTTCTCCATGTCCACTGGGCAGGACAAGAAGAAATGGGTTTAATCTGTAACCAGGGAGATTTAGGTTAGATATTAGGAAAAACTTCCTAACTCTAAGGGTAGTCAAGTTCTGGAATAGGTTTCCAAAGGAGGTTGTGGAATCCCCATCATTGGAGATTTTTAGGAACAGGTTGGATAAACATCGGTCAGGGCTGGTCCAGGTCTATTAGGTCCTGCCCCAGCACAGATGGCTGGGCTTGATGACTTCCCACGGTCCCTTCCAGCCCTACATTTCTATAAATTCTATAGAGAGGGGTTAGGATTCTAGTGCATTAGAGACAGAGCAAAGATGAGGGGAAAAAGCTCCTTTAGTGGAAAGCCAAGTGATGATTAGGGCCCTGAATAAGTCACAGTTTCACAGAAATTGTAAAATTAGCCCAATACCATCATTTTTCAAACAACATTCCTGCTTCTGCCTCCGAGCTCTTAGAAAAACCACGGTACCGGGCTGCTCCTGAGGCAGTAGGCTGGCAGCAACAATTGCCTGGCCCAGGGCAGGTCCCAGTTCACCCCGAGCTCAGCTCCAGTCCAGATCACTGCTGCTGCTGCTTCCTGTCCTGCCAGCAGTTGGGAGGCCGTGTGGCACTGACAACCTGCGGCAATTAGGAGCCCCGGCCTGCCTCATGGTGGCCCACAGCAGGCCTGCAGGGGACACCGCAGCACCAGCTGGCAAAGAGCTGAGACTGGAATCTTCTGTTTGGAGCACAAACAGGTCTGTGAGGGGGCTCTGCCCCAGCAGGGGGATAAACTAGACAGCCCGCTACACCCACCCACCCCGCTAGTGCTTCAAGTGGTGGATCCTGGTCTCAGCTCCTTGCCAGCTAGCACTGCAGTGTCTCCCCCGGGGCCTGCCAGAGCTCCTAATCCCTGCCACACCACTCCCCCAGCCAGGGCAGGAAGCAGCAGCAGTGGCCCAGGTCTCAGCGGAGCACAGCATGATGTATAGAGCCCTGCAAATCTGTAGATATCTGCTTTATAGCCACAGACCATGTTTGTGGATCGGATGCAGATACAAATTTTGCATCCATGCAGGGCTCTAGCGATCTAGGCCCCAATCCTGGACCCAGAGCAGGCTAGAACAGAGGGACGGTGCCTAGTGATGATACATCCCCCTCCCCCATGTCCCACACCCCTACCTCCTGAAATAGGACCAGCATGCCATTGGAAAAATGGTAGTAGTTTGTGGGGGAACTCAGCAGCCATGCACATCCTGTGAAATTCAAACCCCTACCCGAGACGCTGCCACGAATTAACACCCACCACCCCCCTGGCAATTTTCACAGGGCCTTAATCATGCTTATCACCAGATAATTACATTAGTGTTAATCTAGTATAGGAGCTTCTACTCAGCAATATGAAAGGGCAGCCTAGCCTGAAGTCAGGTATTCCTGGCTTCTGATTTGCGCTCTGACATCTGTAAAATGGGGATAGGAATACTGATGTCATTGGGCAATGAGAACTTTGCAGTGGGAAAGGAAAAGCTAAAGTATTTCGTTTTTTTTTTTTAAAAAGTCAATGAGGTAAAAAAAATACAATCCCTTAGTATGAGTCACTCTAGTGTTCAGTCTCAGCTACACACGGCAAGTGGAAGACCATCACTGAGGAGATGGTAAAAACATTGCTTAGAGATTTCAAAACGCTGCTCTAAAACAGCTGTGCAAATAGATACTCTATATAATATCTGTCCAACATGAGCTTTCCTGATGGCCAGGCCCAGTTCCACTTACAGTCTCATCTCTGACGGGTGTGTATCATCATCCTCTCCCATCACAATTATCCCTTTTAGCTTCACGTTGCCTGTAAACCTGCCATTAAACACAGAATCAGTGACTTCACTTCTAGTTAGTCTTGATTATACATCACACAATTCAATAAATCTCAGTCAAGAAGAGCTGCCATCACCCAAACTGGTTTTCTAGTTTATTTCCCAAGAGCATACGAGGAAGACTATTGTGAGCAAAGAACCCAGCCACAAATAAAACTAAGTGCATCAGGTGCTAACAGGGCATGAAATGGTGCCAAGCAGGTACTTACGGGATATTAAACAGAAGTTCTACTTCATCATCATCACTTTCGACAAACTAAAAGATACAAAACTGGATTAAAAAAAATCCTTTAGGAGCAGATAATGAAGATATTCTGTAATGCCGTATATTACGCTTCCCATGCACTTCCTTCTGCATCAGTTCATATCTGCATTCCATTGGAAGCTTTGTGCTAATACACTTACTGTAGAACCATGTTAATACGCACTACTTTATTTTGGGAATTATGAATGAACAATATGGACAATGCATTATCCAATGAACTTTGTTTACACTGAAAATTATAGTTCAGTTGTATTTTATACAGATACTCTGCCTCCTAGTAAGTGTTCTAATGTGTTCAGTAGAAAGATTTAATTCAATAACCCACTGAAGCATCCATTAGAAAGTATCTGTTGAGGCGTGAGACACAAAGCTTTTTTTGTTATGGCTAATGTCATGCTCCGCTAGGAGCACTTTGCTGGTATAGGGATGCCAGTATGCTATACCAGCGAAGTGCTCCTAGTGTGAATTCAGCTGTCCTAGTAAAGTTTCACTTTGTATCAGTACAGTAAAGCCACCGCTACAAGCAAAACAAGCTATCCCAGTCTAAGCACACCTTTGCCCGTATAACCGTGGCCATGACCTTTGGCCATGTCTACACTAGACACACATGGACAGTATTGCTAGACCTCAGTCTATAGCCAAGTGCTCTTGGTGTGGATGCAGCTTATAAAGGCAGAACTGCCCTTTTACTAGTAGACCTTATTCCAGCCTTCCCAAGTGCAATACACTATACCAGTTAAAAAAAAAAAATCATCACCACCACCACCACCACACTTTCGTATCCACAGTGGGGCTGTGCTAGTATAATTATTTTGGTAAAGTCATCCCCCCCGCCCAACAAATACAGTTATGCTGGTATACAAATAGAATGAATGACAACCGGTCAAACAGAGATCTCCACAAACTACAGGTCAGACTATACTATGCGACTGTACTGAACATGGTGCTGTACGGAGCAGAGACAGGGCCCTTGGCTATGGCTAACAAAGACAGATAGGAGGCTGCCCACCACAGATGGCTGAGGAAGACATTACACATGTCACAGAGTGTCAAAATGCAGCAAAGAGTCCTGTGGCACCTTATAGACTAACAGACATATTGGAGCATGAGCTTTCGTGGGTGAATACCCAAATGCGAAAGGAAGGGAGCGGACAGAGCAGGGCATGTTAGAAACCTCCAACAAAGAAAGAAGGCTCAGGTGGTTGGGACTGGAACACTGAATGCCAAACAAGCATCGAATCAGGTACCCGAGGGAGGAAAGAGAAAGCAAAGAAAGCCAAGGAAGAACTGGTATGGTGAATGCGTCAGCATCATCTGGGAAGCAGCAACCAGAATCAATAGAGGAACCGAACTCCCGAAAGGTCAGTGTCCCAGGTGGAACTAAGCTCTCAGGGAGGTCCACAAACACGGAGTGTGGACCTTCACTGCTGGTGCCTCAGGGCCAGGACACTGGAGACAGCCTGGAATCTCTCAGCCCGCCCTGCTCACTTTCCCTCATGGTGTAACCCCCACTGCCGGATGAGCGCTAGGTGCCCAGACTCCCACCAGAGAGAGCACCAGGAGCAGCTGCAGAGCCCAGCCAGCACAGGAGCTGGAGGCAGGCAGGGATTGCACAGTGGGTGGCTGCGACAAAGGGGGGAGGGCGCACGCTAAACTCCACACCCAGGGGATTCTCTCCCAGCCCTTTGTTCTTAGGTCCGGGTGGCAGGGGCCCAGAGCTGGGCTCCCTGGCAAGCAGCCACACCCATTGCCATCCAGGACATGGTGGACCTTAGGGACTCCCTAGACTAGAGTGACACCCAGCTGCACTGGTACCTCTTGTACCTGCCCCCCGCACACCTGGAGCCACAGCCCCCCCAGGGTTGCCAGGTGTCTGTTTTTTGACTGGAACGCCTGGTCAAAAAGGGATCCTGGTGGCTCTGCTCAGCACTGCTAACCAGGCCGTTAAAAGTCCAGTCAGCGGCGCTGCAGGGCAGGCAGGCTCCCTACCAGGCTCCTGGAAGCAGCCAGTATGTCCCTGCAGCCCCTAGGCATGCAGGGGTGGCCACAGAGGTTCCATGTGCTGCCCCCACCCTGAGCGCCGGCTCCGCAGCACACTAGGAGCCAGAGGACCATGTCAGCAGCTTCCCAGGAGCCACCTGAGGTAAGCGCCACCTGGAGCCCGCACCCCTCACCCCAACCCCCTACCCCTACCCCTCGTCCT